AAATAGAAAAATAAAAATTAAGAAAATGAGAACAAGGCAGACAGAAAAAAATGGAGCGGCTTGTAACAGAAGGCTTGTTTTGTTCCAAATCAGACTCCTGTATAGCGATGCAGGGGGTGAGTGGTTCCAGGCAGCAGACAATGGGCCAACAGGATCAATATTGACATTCTCCTTAGTGATCGCCGAGTTGGCTGAGTGAGGTCAAGGCCTGGATCTTTGTATTAGCCAGCCAACATTAGTAGTCATGGCTGGTGGACACTTACTGTAACCTTAGCTTCTCAACATAATGGAGGGTCTGAGCATGCCCAAGAGAGGTCCCTCCCCCTTATGGGCCTTATTACTGTATGAGAACTCAGTCCTCCAATTACTTTGTTAAAACAGCTACCAGTCCTCGCTGGCACATCCCCGTTTGTGTGGTGAACACATCTCGCAGTGTGAGTAGCAGCTGTGGGAGATGAGGCAGGGAGAACACAAACAAGAGTAGGCAGAACACCTTTGGACAAGTGGCTGTTTATTAGCTCCTATTCCAACAGCTGACCACATAGACCAATTACCTGGCATATCTTTTAGTCCTAGACCTACAAACACACAAACACACACACACACACACACAGGGAACACTCTTTTCTAAAAAGTCATAGCAAGAGGTGTTACCATAAAAAAATAAAACAACAGTAAACTCCATGTTGTTGCTTTGCTTAAACATCTCAACTGCTATTTGCATGAAGTGGCCAATTATTCCAAGGCAACCTTCATAAAAGAAGAAAGGAGCTGTCCAGGTATTCTGATCCATTTGGCTGAGAGTCAGGGCTTCTAGGAATACCACACTGTGCCACTCCCCAGCATGGTGGAGGGAGTAGTGTAGCAGAGGACCCAGGGCACAGAGGGATAACAAAGAAGAGAGACAAAAAGGAAACTCCTGAGAAAGGAGGCGAGACAAAGGAGGAGATGCTGAGGTTCTAATGCCAAAGAGGAGGAGCAAGAGGAGGTGGAGCAGGAAGAGTAGGAGGAGGAAGGACAAGGGGTCATCTGAGGTGAGGGAGATTCTGTATGGTGGGCTGGTTTCATGAAAGATGGAGTCGGGCCACTTTCCTCCTCCTCCTGTGATTCTCTTCTGGCTCGGGTTTCTTGAGCAAAGCCTTGCAAACTCACACACACACCCAACACGTCTCCAGGCTCCACACACACATGCTCGTTCATCTTTATTACACATTTATGAGTTTTTCTTACAGAAATAGACATGACATCACAACAGTCATGTGGTAGAGCTGCAGTATACATGCTGATGCCAGTGAAACACCCCTTGCACAAACAGAGTTCCAGGTGAGTGAGCTGTCTCAGAGTCCAAACCACTCTGTGACCCCACCTCTCCTAGGGTCATGTTTCTGCCTCTGCTTCTCATCCTCCATGAACTGCTTCTGCAGCGCCTCAATGGAGCCCTCCGCCGACACCTGGTCCTTTTCTGGAAAGATGTCCGGGAAGGTGAACGTTTGGCCCTGGGCCTAGGATGCAGAATGACAAATGTTAGATCACAATGAGAAACCACTGTGTTGCTACCTAGTAATCAACAAAAACAATGTGCTTGTTTTTTCTACTTAAAATCATTTCACAAACCAAAATATGTCAAACTGTATTTTCCTTAAAACCATTTCCATTTTTTTTTGTGCAGACAAGAAGTGAGATACTGATTTGATAATGATAATCACTTTTATTGGCCAAGTATGTTACACACAAAAAGAATTTGTCTCCGGTACAGAACTGAAGCTGCGCCAATTCACACGCATTGATGGCGGTGCTGTCCCTGCAAGATGCTGCTCTGGCCATCAGGAGCAAGAAGTCAGGACACTGTTTCTCCCTCTCTGTTCTTCTTTGAGTTACACAAACACTCTCTTTCTCTCTGGCATTCAGTTTCTCCAACTCTCTCCCACATTTAATCTCTCATCTCTCTCATTTCTCTAGTCTTGATTTATTCAGAGGATGGTATCCATTATTTATTCCAACCAACCCATCTGTGTCCAAGGCTAATGCATCACTATCCTAACTGTAGTCAGTGTCAGGCTACCATAGAGTACAGTGCAGTGCACACACATTCATGCTTGCACACTCCACCCCCACCCCAAAAAATACATACATAGATATCAGTGGGTGCAGAGAACCACACATATCCTATCCCTCTTGGCCTCTCCCATAGACACCTGGCAGCAATAATTGACTGTTATCAAGCTCAAATGGAGCCAAATGGTTGCCTTCCTTAAACGACACAACTTCGCATAAAGACTGATCATAACATCTGACCATGAAACTGCACTTAGCATTTTAAATCACTGCATGTTTGGATTTTGAAAGAACTGCAGTTTACGCCAAACAACAGCATCTACTGTAACGACAAACAGTTAAACGTCACGATGTGGCTCACTTATTTTATATACAGGCCTGTCACTATAAAATGAATTGTTTCTATGAACACAATTGTCAAATCAACTATTCTGTTTAAATATGTGAAATATTTAGTTTGGGGTCAGTGTGTAGGCGTTAAGGAATGGTCTGGCTCTGATGTGAATGTTACTTTGTCTGTCTCCAACCCCCAAAATACCAAGAGAAACATGCATACAATTACCACATAGAATGGTTTAATTACCAAAGTGGGAGATAACATGAAGCTCATTCAGTCATAGACAGAGAATGGAGTTGGTCTTGTCTACTTGTTTGACTGGGACAACCCACACCAGGAGTATCTGGTATTGATACTGTAGGTTTACATTTAGGCATGTAAAATGTGAGTGGTCAGGTGCATGTTTGCATGTGTTTAGTACAAACAAAAAAACAGAAGCGGCCAAGATAAATATGAACTGGGTGCTTGGTGGTCATCAGCTCATTAAAACACTGATTGTATAGATGCTAGTTACGGTTTTCTCACATTCTGTACAACCTATCATGCTCTATACTTCAACTATCACCAGTAAGTAGGGTTGCAGTAGTATAACGGTTTCACAGTACACCATGGTATGAAAAGTAAAGGTTATCATACCATGCACATTTCCTTATTACCAGTATTGAAGAAAAAATAATGCAGTGAACCTTCCTTCCCAGACTGCCTGTCAGACTCCGCAATAGGCGCCACACACAAACACACACAGCAGGCAAATGGCAGCGAGGAGGAGACTGATAGCCTGTCACCAAACTCCCTGTAAGCGTATAAACATCGGTCATAAAATGTGCCATCGAAAGAACCTTCCACAGTCTGTTCGTTTGCTAACCTCTGACTTACAAAAGGATTCACACTGATCCCATTCTGACACTTGCTATTTTTTTTAAATTATGTTTATAATTCAGTTTATTCTTTAGGGTCAATCTAGCACTGCAATCCAGCTCAATCATCTGTTATAGTCACCTGCAATAAAAAAAAAAAAAAAAAACCCTCTGCTTTCATTCCTTTGAGGGTCACTGTAGCTGATCATAATTCTATTTGTGTAATACTGTAATACTGTGAAACCATGATATTTAATAAGACGGTTATCATACTGTGAAAATCTCATACCGTTGTAATTGTCTGTCCGACCCAGAACACTGATATTTGGGGCTGAGATAAGGTACATCATTGTCAGGTACACAAATCTCAACTGCATTTTAAAAGCAGAACACTGGTTTTACACAAATGTTCTCTGGTTTTCTTTTTTGTTGTTGTTGTTGTTGTTAATGAGGGACTGCATTTTGGACGCAGGGGGACACAAAAAGTATCCTTGGATCAGTCTCAGAGAAAAACAAGAGAAACCATTATAACAACTTACCAACATTAAGTATAGTTGGATGCCTGGACATGCCAAATCAGACAACACTGGCATGACCAGGCATCCAACTACATCCAAAACACAACTATTATGGAAAATACTATGTTGGTACGATAATTTACACAGACTTGTATTCATGTTACTCTCCACAACCTGACCATTTGGGTCTGAACTCTCTGATACTGGCTTTGAGGAGCAAAACATTCACAGCCTTCAATCAAAAGAAAAGCCACCCTGCTCTTGTTCTCCTGTCTTGTGGCAACGTTGGCCTGTATTAACTACAGGAGGTTTTCTACTGAGTGCAGTGATACAGGAAGGAGGACAAGAGCACAGACCAGGAGTAGTTGGACAGGCTGAGGCAGAGAGCTGCAAAACACCAAAGAAGCACCTAGAAATTGATGGTCCTGCCAAGACCCTTAGCATCGTTTGCACTTGCACATTCTGCCATCGAGGAACGCAAAATCCAAGAACACAAAAACTGGATGGCACCAAGAATAAGAGGAGGAGGCAGTATGGAGAAATATGGGGGAAGAGGTGGCGAGCAATTGACTGGAAGAAGAAGAAGAAGAAGAGCAAAATAGGGGTGACTGAGGAAGGGCTCTACCAAAGGACTATAAACATCAGACCTGACAAAAGCAGGAGCAATGAGGCAGTGAGCCAAACAAGTCTTCACCCAACTTGAACCAGACACTGTCGCATGACAATTCCCAGGTATACGGTGCAGCACTGGACACCTTGTGTATACACACGGCGAAGATTAATACTGGCCTCAAAGAGCGCGATTCACAAAAACAACAAAGCCCTGAGACTGAAATCAACAAAGCGCTGAGACTCATTAAACAAGTCTTATTGTTGGCAGCAGGCCGCACCCTGTGTTTTAATGTGTGTACACGCGTGTGTCAAACATCTGCTGGACACATTTCTGCAGTGACAGAAAGTGCTGGCAGAGAGCATTCATAGTTTTGTCTGAAATATAAACATTGCACCACAGCAGAGGCAAAGCCCACGTCCCCTCGGCCTCCTTGAGCTCTGAGCCAAAATGATCTTTCCTGTGTGTGTCTGTCTGTCTCCCTCTACTTGTGTATTTGTGTGTGAGAAAGCGAGGGAGTATGTGTATGAGTGTATATTGAGTGATTTATGGAGAAGACTGTGGCTTAGCCAAAATGGACAAAAGTGAAGAAAGACAGTCAAGTATTATGGGCCTCCAAAGGTTTTCTTCTGTTACTCTGCTTCCTAGACAACAAATTGCAGGACTGGATATTTTCCTTCAATCTGCCATCATCTTCACCACACTCCCAACTGAATCAAGCTGCCATCCAGGAATACTGGGATAAGGCCCCACACTGCTAGTTATATAAACATACTCCTCTTAGGCACATGAACAACCCGTAGTTGGTTATTGTCCAAAAAACCCTTGACTGCCATTCAAGAAGCATCAACTTCTCTCTAAAAATACTAAGTCAGTCATTTTTTCCCATGTGACATTGGGGACTCAACTGCTCCATTCAGGCCCTCTAATATCTATACTGGTGTTATTATTGCATTAATAATATTTTAAAGCTTATAGAAGGCTTTGACCTTGTGCCATGTGGGCACTAATTGGCAGGTGTAATTGACAGTTTTAGGGCTGCAGCTATTGATTATTTATATATTTATATGCCTCTACCAACCCATCAAATTCACAGAATTGGCACAGAAGTGAAGTCACTGACCTCTGACCAACAAAATCTACTCAGTTCATCTTTGAGTCCAAGTGGACATCTGTGCTAAATGTGAAAGTTACCTCAACGCATTCCTGACAAATCGCGGTTACAAGAATGGGATGAACGCGAGGTCAGAGTGACCTTTGACCACCAAAATCTAACTAGTTCATCCTCAAGCCCAATTGGACATCTGCACCAAAGTTGAAGAAAATCCGACATGGCGTTCTTGACAGATCACATTCACAAGAATCGTACAAACAGACAGGACAGACGTACAACCTTTAAACATAATCCTTATCCATGAGTGGGACATTGCAGAAAACCAATATAGGCACTCAAGTGGGTGGTTGACAATAAAATGTGGGCTAATATATTAAAAAAATACATCAACACATACTGGAACACTTGCCTTCCTCGGGATGTCTGAGGGTTAAAATTATATCTTATATTTAACATCAATATTTATGTAACCAACTAACTAGCTTTCTTAACTAACATAACTCAGCTAATTCAGTGCATGTTAGCAATGTCTTATAATATAGGCTATATTTGGCTATCTTTACTGTTACCCTTCACAAGAATTACACCCCAACAAAGTTATAGCCTACTTCATGTATTCTTTGTGGATGCTAAACTTATTGATGGATGCATCTACCATCCTGAGTTCATGGTTCAGAGTAATATCCAATCAGATGTTTGATTACCTTGGTTTAGGTTTGATAGTTCACACAAAACTTCATCCAAACACTGATTGTTGATTGACAGTTCATTCCTGTTGTCAGCTTGCTTTTTATTTTAAGATCAAGTCACTTCTCCATTATTTTTTTGCACATATACATTTTAAGGCTCTGCGCCTTTCTGTGGTGAGGAAAACCCTGTTCAGATCTCTCCACCAATGTTCAATGGGGTTTAAGTCTGGGCTTTGGTTGGGCCACCCATGGACATTCAGAGACTGGCCCAAAGCCACTCCAGTGGTGTTTTGGCTGCATGCCTTGAGCCATTGTCATACTG